GACAGCGTCCTGACAGTGTTGTCATAAATCAACAGATCACACATCCTCCCCTCTCTTCCTCACATTACCCTCAAGACACTTTCCTCCCCTTCAAGAAGGTGAGTCATCTTCCACCAATCAAAGGGCAGCCCAAATGATCACTCACCTCAGACCTCCCCCGTTTTTGATTAGCACGTTTGATAAATGGTGTCTTTTCCCTACTTTAATTGGAAGCTCTTTTCATCATAATTTGATGTTTGTTTCCTGTCGTTTTCTCGATGATGTCTGGGAGCTGGAGGGCTGTAATTTCTACATCAAGGAAGTTGTTATGAATGACTAGCAGGTGGAACAGACAGTAGAGCAGAGATTTCACCACTGAACTCACCTGGCAGGTGAATTTAGGAACTGGTTTTGACAAATCACAACACAAAACAGGCTGACTCTCTCTCTCTCGCTCTCTCTCTCTCTCTCTCACACACACACACACAAGCACAAATGAAGCACGAAACACAAACAGGGGATAATTAGGCTAATTTTTGTTTGAAGTATTATGCGTCACAATGAAAATAGAACAGATAAAAGATGAGATAATAATAGATCTAAAGAGGACCTTGACTGAATGTTGTTCCAACAAAGAGCATTTTGTTTGACACAATTCATATTGTCGACAAAACTGATATGCTGTCCCAACTTTATAAGGGGCGGAAAAACGTATAAAAATGCATTATGTTCAACAAAACTTTGTATCTCTGCACGATGTGTGGAGTTAATAATCTATTCACGCCCTTCTTCAGATTGACTTCTGGTCATAAAGGAGTGGGATAAAGAATTGAAATCTGCTGATGATAAATTATGCCGTGTGTATAGATATATTCGCTCCTTATATAACATGCAGAATGTAGTATCCAAAGTGAGAGACAACTGAATCGAGGTCACACCGCAGCAGGAAATCTTCCTTTTCATGTGAGATCCAGAGGGGTCACTCTTATGAACTCATTAGGAAAGAAATGCAAATGTACTTCTGTTTTTTTTCCTCCCCTCCTTTTTTTTTTTTTTTACTTTCTCCTTTCCATCCATTTTTTTTTAAACAAGCGCCGCAATACACAGAGCCTCACTGGAGAATATAACGTATTTAAATGTAAAGTTCAAGTGTGTAAGGTGAATCTGACAGGCTATCATGTTTGTTGCCTTGTCATCAATTAACATAATCATTACTCAGCAAACAAAGCTTTGTATTTATCTATGCACACTTGTGACTGGTGCAGTAATTCTACTGCTGCAAACAATGCTCATGAAATACATTCCACAGATGTAGCAAAGTCTATTTCTTGGTGCAATATGACAATGAGGCACGAATGACCCCTCATCACCGGCCTTCTCTGCAGTGGTCTCTCATCATGCAGCAGAGGGCATTAAATAATGCTAGACTTCCCTTTACAAAAACAGAATTCAAACCACATCAAGAATTTTCTTTTTTTAATTTTCTTTTTATTAAACTTTATTTTATCATTTATAATATTATTATAATTATTATTATTTTATAAATTATATATTTTATAGGAAGAATATACTCTAATTGTCTTTTGTCATGGTTGTATTATTTTAGGGGGTTACAGCATGGACCGCCTGTATCACAATCAACCACTCTGTTTTCTTGACACTGGTTTTATTTTCTCTGAGTTTGTTGGGATCCACCAGAAACACTGTCGTAACACAGAAAAATGCAGATATTTTATTTAGATTATGTTCAGAATGTCATTCTACCATGGTCTCTATAAGAATAAAAAACACATCAGGAAGTCAAGCTCCAAAGAAGGCCTGAGGTCTCATATGAAAAACAATTCTGGGATTAAGTTTGGTGTCCCTAACAAAGTTGCATTTTATAATATCTCACAATGCCAAATAAACCAAAGCCAAAACCCCAACATGAATCATTTAGTCCTGTGATTTATTTAATCTGTTTCATTTTTCACAGTTTGCATCTCTTCACCTCTTACCTCAGGCCCTGCAGGCCTGCACTGTCTCTTTTTAGTCACTTAATAGGCCTACTAAAAATCGTTTTATCCCCTGATTTCCCCTTCCCCCAGAATGTTATGATTAAACCATATCCTAGGTGAAAGATGAAAAAAGAAAGGTAAAGAAAAAAAAAAAAAAAAGCGTTTTTTTTCCAAAGGCAATGATGTCGTTTCTAGTTTGATTTCAGGATGTAGGTAGCATCATTTCAGAGTGTTCCATAAGAAGTTGCAGATAATTCAATTAAAGAAGTGCTGTAATTAAATAGATCAGAAAATGAAAGAAAACAGCAAAACAGAGTTTCTAACTTGTATCACATTTTCCTCAATTTATTGGAGCTGGAAACAAAAACAAAAATACAACGTTAAAGGTTTTTTTAATGAAAGGTTCGGTTGTGAGGGTCTGCCTGCGTAATCTTCCTAATTATTTCTCTCTCTTTCAATACTGTATTTGTGCGTGTGTGTGTGTGTGTGTGTGTGTGTGTGTGTGTGTGTGTGTGTGTGTGTGTGTGCGCGCGTGTTTTCCGCTATACTCTGGAATGCAGCCAGTCTCGGCTCTTTTGAATCCACACTCTGCTTCCAAAACCGAAAAGCCTTTGATCTTTTTTTCCCTCGCTGTCTCCTTACCCGGAAGAGAACCCCTTCTCGCTCTCCCTCCTCTCTCTCTCTCTCTCTCTCTCTCTCTCTCTCACTCTCTCTCTCTCTCTCTCTCTCTCTCTCTCTCTCTCAGCTGGGATGAACGCACACGTGGAAATGTTGGCCCGGCTCCACACTCGGACCAAATTTAGTCATACAAAGGCGAGGGAGCGAGAGAGGAGGGTGGAAGAGGGAGAAGGGGAGGCAGGGAGGTGGTGTAGGAGGGGGGAACCGGGCGGGGGGAGTTGGGGATGAAAGAGCCAGCCGCCGCAAGATCAAAGGCAGCCGCGGCTCCTCCCCGCTAACCCCACCTCCGCGCTTTATAAAGATCTGCCTCCCCATCCCAACTTTGATTCTCACGCAATCTCTCAGTGCTCAGTCTGTGGCTCAGACAAACACAGAATGCATCACGCTTCCACTGCTTTTTGGCTTGATTTTCTTTTTTCTTTTTGACGTATTGTCATTATTGTGAGACTATAGAAACTCAATTTCTTTTGTTATAACCATTTCCCCCCCATTTTTTGTTTTTGTTTTTACCGAAGGCCCATTTATTTTGTTTGTAATATTTAAATACTATTTAATGTCATAACATTTCAGTTGTGTGTATCCAATAATTCATACAATAATCCTAAAATCTGTGTTTTTGATCTTTAATCGTTCTGTGTGTGCGTGTGTGCAAATAAACAACTATGGCTTATTCATTTTCCCGATGCTCACTACAAATCCATATTTTATTTTTTTAAATGATGCTTTTGATGGGTGTTTTAAACTTAAAAAAATGTCTGTTTACAAAAGTAATGGGACCCCAGGCCTATACTCAACCCTTACATACATTTTGCCATCAAGTCGTGATTGTTTTATTCATTTGTTGAATTAAAAAAAAAACAGTTCACTTCACATTAAATAAAGATAAAGAGCCTTAAACCCCCAAAATAATCATTGACACTAAAACACAGGAAAATAAAAAAAGGGAAAAAATACACGACCTATATTTTTAGAAATGTTTCATTATGAGGTCTGCATATAACCCATTATGAATATGTACTATTGTAAAACCAACTAGCCTCATTTGCAATTGATTTGTACGCATATAAAACACATAAAAATACATAAAGACTGCCCTCTTGTTCTATTGTGGCCTTTGGTTGTTGGTTGTTTCCACTGAAAACGGCACTATTGCCAACTCTTGCGTCTAAATCCAACATCTCTTCCTCTACCTCGCCTAAACAAGCTGAAACTCGTCTCGTGTTTCTCTCTTTTTCTATCATTCTAATTTATCTTGATTGTTTAAATTCATCACAAACACTGCGAGTGCCAACCTCGCAGCTTCTTCTTCTTCTTCTTCTTCATCTTCTATTCTTCTTCCCCTCCTGACTGCCCATTTGTTGTGAGCGGAGTATAAATCTCTCTCTCAGGAGGAGTGTCAATCGGTGCGGTGTCAATCAGAGCCTCGGCTTCCCTTTCATCTCTCCTTCCTCCCAATGACTGAAGAGGGAGAAGGAGGAGGAGGAGGAGGAGGGAGCACGGCTACATTACCAACACACACATACACACACTGGATACATTACACTGTGGAAGCAGTGCGGCGAGCAGTGGGAAGTCGGTCTACGACATTTTTCTTCCTCTCTGTCTTCTTTTTCTGATTGTTTCATGACTCTGAGCTTTTATCCCCTCTTATCCGAGCAGCTGTGAGGATGTATTTTGAGGCATGTGAGCGGCTCGCTGCGTTTCTTACCGTCTCGTCTTAAGTGTTAAAAACTGTTTTCTTTACATCCATCAGTTACCTTTCCACCTCCAGACGGTGTTTTGGTTTTGTTAGCCTACTTTCATCCCCACTTTCGAGGACGCCACAGTTTGTTCACTGGACGAGCAGGACGTATTTTTCTCACTTTTTTTTTTTTCAATGCATTTTTTTGACGTTGAGTCATTTTGTAGGCTACTGGACCATATCCGTCGTCTGTTGACTGAAAACAAGTGATGAGACTTTTAACTCGTGCTCTGACTTTTTTTATTTATTTTTTCGAATGACATTCAAGCGTGCTCCGGACTATCTGACCCGTCACGTTTGTAGTTTTTGGGTCCGAGTTTCTTTCATGTGTTATTGAAATACGCGTGATTTAAAAAAGAAAAAAGAAAAAAGAAAAAAAAAAAAAAGGGACGCCGACCAAAAGACACACTCCTCCTGTTGCTTCTGTGAAAACACACCGGCAGCGTGTCTGCACGCCAAGTGACTCACGGTGCACCCACTCCGCTGAGACAGAGGGACGCTTTCCCACTCTCAGGGGGATTTTAAAGTGGGAGTTTTCCCCCTCTGTAGTTTCGGACAGTGCTGGCGTGTGCGGTGTCTTCAGTGAAACAAACCGAGTAAGAAAAATGCCACAGTTATCAGGCGGAGGAGACCCGGAGCTGTGCGCCACAGACGAAATGATCCCGTTCAAAGACGAAGGAGACCCGCACAAGGAGCAGATCTTCGCCGAGCTCAGCCACTCGGAGGAGGAGGGAGACCTGGCAGACATCAAGTCATCTCTGGTGAACGAGTCAGAGAGCAGCCCAAACAGCAACAGCCACGATGTGAGTAATGTTGCGTGTTCGCTGATGTGGTGAGTGATGATGACGATGAGGAAGAGGAAGGTGGGTATCAACTCTGAACTCCAGCTGAGAGGGCGAAGCAGCCGGCATCACCTCGTAAACAAAGTTTATTTGATCTTTTTTTTAAATCTTTTAAGGAGCTCATATTACTTGACTGAGAGATTGTCAGCTAATGAAAAGGTGATGCGTTAAAGACCAAATTGACAAAATCAGAATCCCTAAATTAATATCCTTCTGTGCTTGTTTTAAAAAAAATATTTTTAGAATTAAGCCCACTTGAAAAATGTTTCTTAAAGCTTAATTTCACCCTTAAAAAAAGTAGGCTACACAAACTGAGTTTAGCCTCAACTGTCCCTTTATAGATTGTCTTTTATTTTATTCTAACAATAAACGTCTTTAGCTGTAACACCAGATGTCTGCAGACTCAGGTGCACTCGTTTTACTCTCCTCCAAAAGATGCTGCTCCTAGATCTTTGGCAGCTAATAATCTTCTTTTTTGAATACATTACATACCTGAAAGCACACCTGACACTTGGTAGAAGTTATATTTTATTCATTTGCCCTTGAATTCAGTGCAAAATATATTTAATGATGAAGACTTGGGGTGTTGTGTGCTGCCTGTACCCAGTGTGTAGGCCATAGCTGTATTTGCTGGGGTGCACGATAATCCTCTCCATCCCCTCGATATGTTACACCATCAAATGACATAAAATGCATGGACAAAGAAGATTATTTTTTATTTCTCGTTGAATCTATGAAACACAGATAAAATGAGAATCCAATTATTTTGTTAAACAGCTGTTTTCGTATAGGCTATTTTTAACATCATTCTCATTCTTCATTATTGACGTGTCAGTTTTATTTCAGTCATTAGTTGTTTTCACATGCAGATAGGTTTGAAAATATTAGATATCTAATTTCACATTTGTTTTTTTCAAATCCTTAGTAATCGAGTAAAAAGGAGGCCATATTGGCCGAAAAGACTTTTTTCTCTGTGTATTAATGTGTCGACTTTATTATAGTGATGTAAATGCATACAGGATCTCAATGGAAGGATTATGAATGATGAATTTTTAATGTATCTGAAATTATTTCTCTGCCGCTTTACGCCTGACTCTTGAAAAATGGCGTAACAATAGCTCATATGAAGACACAGAGTAGGCACGATAGATCTTCATCACATTTTAAATGTGTTTTAAATTTCTCCTCCTCCTCCTACTCCTTCTCCCCTCCCGTGCACTGACCTCAGGATGCAGGCTGTAGCTTCCCCATCGCAAAGTTACCCGCCTGTTTTTTTTTTTTTTTTTCATTAACCGCAGTGTTAATGAAATTTTGGGCGCAATCCTGAAAGAGCCATATGCACATTCACCACGGAAATGTCCTAGAGACGCACGAGACAGAGGCTGAATGTTAATTAGGCATCCAGTGAAGTTCCCCTTCGCTCTGCTTGAAGCCATCCTGAGGGGTCTGGACTCCATAAAGAGGTCCCCTTATTGGTAAAGAGAAAGGAAATGGATGTGCAAAAAGCAGGAGATTTTATTTTTTTTATTTTTTATTTTTAAAGCAAAAACTGCCTCCTCCTTCCCCCCCCCACTTTAATTTCCCTTTGTACACAGACTTTTAAAATCATGACACTGATACATTTTCGATTCATTTGAATTGGGAAGAAGGCTGAAAATGAGACATGGAAATGAGAGTGGACCTATGTTATTGAAAACAAGTTAATTTGTAAGCTCCTTAAGGACATAAAGCTTAATTAAGTGGTTCTTTTGAAGCTTTGATGCAGGCTGCTCCATCACCCCTCTATAGATAGTACTGTGTGTGTGTGTGTGTGTGTGTGTGTGTGTGTGTGTGTGTGTGTGTGTGTGTGTGTGTGTGTGTGGTCGTTCTTGTGTTTTTGTGTGTGCGAGCTTGTTCTGCCTTGGTGACAAGCAAAAGGGACGTCATTTGTCCCAGTTCTGTGCGTGGGTGTCTGACCGTTTCAGCATGTCTGTGTGTGTAACTGCATTTGAAAGCCCTCCTAATTGATTCCCCATCCCATCTTTGTATGTTATTTATTTCTCTTTTCTACTTACAGGCAGCTAGACAGTCCCAAATACCGCAAGATTCATATCACGAAAAACACAGAGACCATCCAGATGATGGTAAGTGAGCAAAGAGCTTGTTTAATCAGCATGCTTTGTATGACAACCAGCTGTAATGAAAGCTCCGATGTTTTCACGATCGCTCGTTGGAGCTTGAGAAAGTTGAGGGTCTGGAAAAAGTGCCCCCCTTGTTTACCTCCACAGTGAAGTGATCAGTCCCACTTTGAACTGTTGGTCCTTCTCTTATCAGAGCCCCTGTTTATTTTCCTCTTAGACACATAATCTCTGATCCAAGTCTAGTCAGGACACGCTGCACCGTCATGTTACCTCCCTCATAGATGTGGGTTCCTGCAGAAATGCAAAACAAAGATCAAAAAGGATGAAAATGCTTCTTTTTTTCTTCTTTTTTTAAATGAACTTTTAATTAAGGAATACTCTTGACTGCACATGCAGAATGAGGCTAGAATGGAACTTAATTCTTATTATGCAATTCCCCCAATAAACAATTTCCCCACACACTTCACATCAGTCACATGCAACATGTTGCTGCCGCTCGGGGCGCGTTGCTCTCAAGGCTTTTGTAGTCTGACCCTGCTGCTGCAGGTCATCATTACCCTCTGAGGAGGAGTGCGTGTCCTCTTTGTTCCCCTTTCACTCCTGAATAAGACACCTCAAACCAAACACTGGCTTCTTTTTTTTCTTACTACACAACAAGGACTGTGTCGCCATCAGGCTGTGTATACCACAAACACTCTCCAGTCCACCCCCCACCCCCCACCCCGCCTATTACGCAGCGTGCAGTTGAGTGGCGAGTGGCTCTGTATTGAGGCCTCTTCTTGTACAAAGCTCCCTCTCTCAGGTCAAAGGCGCAGAGGATCAGTTGGGGCGTCTCCTGTTTTGACACAGTCTGTATGTTCTTCTAATTGGTGCTAATTGGCACAGAGGGGCTCCATTGTTCCCCTGCATAATACGACCCTCCTCTCCCAAGACGGGAAGAAAGGGCACAAACAAAAGGCCGAGGAGAAATAGGGCACGGGTTAAAACGATCCGCAATGATATCATTGCAGTGCCAAAACGGTCAGGCCCAACTTTGTGTGCAGCTTTGTCTTTATTAAATGCTTGATTTTATTGACTGAAGCACATTTACAGTTTGTATTTTAAAGCTCTGTTAAAGTAAGGAATCCAAGGGTTCATATGTGAATTTATAATAAATATGCTTCATCTGAACCTTTTTTTTGCAAACACCCAGTGAATAAACTGTCTCTATTTAACCTTTTATTTTTTAAATCAGGAAAACATCAAGACATGTACGGAAAAGGCCATCCGTACTCGGGTTACCCAGGCTACATCATGATGAGCAACATGAACGACTCTTACATGAACAATGGCTCCCTCTCTCCGCCCATGCCCATGCCCAGAACGGTCAGTACCAAGTCTCTATTGAAATCATTTTATTATGTGATTCACATGACATGAGATGCTGCTGGTGTGGCATTAAGGAATGGCAAGACAGTAAGCCTTTGGGATTTTTTTTTTTGTGGTACGGATACATAGCTAATGAAATCAAATATCCATCAGTCAGTCAACAGGAAATAAATCACTGATCGTTTTAATGAAAGGATGAGGGAAGTGACTCAGTCACTGCTTTTTTGTGAGAGTAATCAATGCTTGAAACGTTGTATATTCTTTTGTCCATTAAGGGTATGACTCATGTTGTTTTTTTAATGTATCTGTTGAAATGTGGTCTTCTGCTGGTCTGATAAAAACACATGCTGTGACTATTTACATGCGTTTGACGAATGGAAAGCATAAACGATCACCGTTACTGATTGTTGTGTTTATTTTTCAATGTTCGACCGCTCATGTGGAAGCCAAGTTCAGGCGCTGTACAAGATATCACAGTTTAAGCGCTGACCTAATACCGAGAGGGTTTTTAAAAACCTCTTTAATGGAAGCCTAATGCCACACATTCTGGTAGCATAACACAGAGCAGGATTAAGCAGCAAGGCAACCTGTTGCTCTACCTGCCCACAGACTCTGCTGCGCTGTCTCTCTTCTTTTATAAAAAAAAAAACTTGATAAGTACGATTTAGTTGATGTTTTGACTGCTTTAGTATGAGACATCTCTTTATGTCCAGTCATGTTCATGGATTTGTTTGTGTTATGGACTGGTTGTGGGGAGAATAATTAAGGACGTTTTTGCAGTGTTGCTTTTAGCTGCAACAACTTCTTCTACACCCTGGTTGTTGTTGTTGTTGTTGTTGTTGTTTTAAACATAAAAATACACAAAATGTAAGCTACATTGACCAACATCTCACCGCTGACATTTATGATGACAGTAAATAACCATTTGTGAATAAGAGAAAGCGTTTCAGGAAAGAGCCACCCATAAGAAAAGTATGCACTCCACCACATGCTGTTGTTGTTGTTGTTGTATCTATGTGACATGTTTACCTCCATGTGCTTGCATTGTAGACACCCCCCCCCCCCCCCCCAGCCCTTGACAACCATATGCAGCCCTTGGAAACAAATTCCGGCCACACTTTCCACAAGATTAACAAGAGATGTACAGTATTTCTCATCTTGTTAAAATCTTAAGTGATGCACATCTACATGACCCAGTAAGCTCTCTAATTAGCCCAGCATGACAGAGGAGGCCCTAAAGACAATATAACGTCCTTGCAGAGGAGTTTCTGGTGCTGCACAGGGGTGGCGTGCTCTGTTGCAGATATTGTCCCTGTGACCGTATTAATTTCAGGCCAGCTGCAGGTCTCTCTCTCTCTCTCTCTCTCGCTCTCACTGGCGGCTTCCTGTGTCTGTCCCGTTTGCAAATTTCTCCTCTCAAGACAGACATGAAATGCAGGGCACTCCAGCAGCTGTCCACTCTTAATCCTGTATTGTCCACGTCTCTGAGTCACGACCAGCCTGAGTCTGGCTATAGTCTAAAAAACGCACACAAACACACACGGTGCAGGGAAGGAAGCAAAAAAAGCTCTGGGTTGTTTCTGCTTTTGCAGCTCATGCGCGTTAGTTTCATCAGGGTGAAGTTGTGAAATGTGACTTCTGTGATATTATAAGAATCGTCTTTCGTGGGCAGATGTGATTGTCGGGGGCAGACGCCACATGCTGTGTGTAAAGGAACTTCATTCACACGCAACTCTATCACAGAATGATGTTAAAATTGCATTGCTTCCCCCCCCCCCCTCTGCCAAAGCTGCAGAGGGTGAAGGTATGTGACATTGTGGAGAAAACATTATCCGGGGGTTACCTCATGGTCTGCTCTCTTCACTTTATAAATAGGATGTTTCAACCAAAATGTTGGATACGATGCTTCCAAAAATGTCTCTTTTTATGGCTTGTTTTCTGGTTAATTTTATCAATTATTCCATCAAACACGCCGCAAAAAAAAAAAAAGGTCTGCGAGTTCTGTATGGAGACCAGCTGACGGTATGAGAGGAAATTACCCCTCGCTGCACATAAATTAGGCCAGGCAGTTAGGCAGCTCATGTGCTGCCAAAACTTTTACAGCCACGCTTTTATTTCATTTACCATGGCTGCTTTTTTTTTTTTTTTTGCCGCACAATTCCCCCCCCTCCACCCCCCCTCCCTGTCTTCAATAAAACGGTAGTCATTTCATATACGTTTCTCGCACTTATCCAATAAAAAGAGCCAAGGCTTGATGGAGGGATCACGGTACATGAGTCCTCTGGCTTTTTCACTGATGTCAGCTCGTAGCCACAGTATATCTGCAGGCCTGGGATCAGTTTTCAACCGAGATCAAAGGCACATTCCCTCTTTCATTCTCTTCCATCCCCAGCCCAAACCACCGCCCCCCCCCCCCTCTATCCCAGTAGTTTAGATTGATTTCCATTGACCATGACATTCCTGCACATGCCGTCCAGTCATGATGGAGCTGCAGGGAGTAACTGATTGTCAGCAGATTTTTTATTATTTTTTTGGCTTCTGGCTTGATAAGTCGTCTCCGCCACAAGGGCCCCTCGATTTGAAAGTGTCACGATGCCTTAACGGTGTTCTCTTCCGTATTCATGTGGATTTGAAACACAACGTGACCGCATCAAACGGGGCCGGGGGTGTGTGAGGAAAAACCCTGATGTTTACGTTAAACCTATAGCGGTTTCAGGATGTGGAGTCTGCGGGGTATCCCGGACAACAACTGGAGTGAGCTGGGAGGTCATCACGGGAAGTGGAGCAAAGAGCCCATTGTGCTTATCTTACATCAAAAGTAGAACTGAAGCCTCAGTAATGTGTAACACTCCACTATTTAAAACCGTTATTATTCATTATCTTGTCTACTGTTACTTACAGTCATGAAAAAGGTTTTTAAAGACTTTAAAGCAGGTCATTAGAAATGGGCTATTTTAAATGTGGTCGTAGATTACCAACACCTCGGCTTGTTGAGCCTGTTTATGGACGGAATATTTCTACTAATATTAAAGCGTCGGTTTCCAGAGGCCCATCTAAGACGCCTCATACTGCTAATGTGTATAAATTGGACAGAAAGCCTGTTGTTTGCCATTAGAAGTCAACATCATCAGATACCCTTCTTGTCTTTAGAACGCATATCTGAATATGTTCATTTGTGAGGCAAATAGATCCTCAAGGCATCATTATTTTTTAGCTATGTTAAGTCTCATTTGGCTACCTACCCCAATACAAGAAACTGCTTATTGAAAGCTCCTGTGTGGAGTTTTTAACTGGTTATTACACTGGATTAATTTAATATTGATGCCTCTATGTGACCTACACATGCAAACAAGACCACCAGCGAGAAGAGTCCTGATTTCCATATTTTTATTTTTATTTTTAATGCCTGTAACCTCTGCTGCAGGCTAGGTGTCAGATGATAGTGAAACCGACCTTATTGACACACAGCCTGGACTCACAGTGAATGAAATGTTTGACTGATAAAAAAAACATGCATGATTTAGGTCTGAATAATGGCGGCAGAGTCTGATATTCAAAGCGTTTAGGGATGTCATCGCTGCAGGTTTGATGTGTGGGAGAAGTTGTCTCTGCTGCTCTGAGAGGGTTTTTGTCTTATCTTCCAATAAGTGGTCCTGCAAGCCTCTTTGAGCTCCCGTGAGGATTTGAAAATGACAGCTTCTAAATAAAGATCAACGCGCACGTGATGGGACGGTGCGTATTTTTAAATGACCTGAGAGCTATTTTCAGATCAATGCAGTTGTCGCACTAAAATGTCTCCTTTTGTTTAAAAGTTTGAATAAACCCTACAGCCTCCGAGCTCCTTAGATCCAACATCGACCGAAAAAAACCAGCTCAGTAAACTCAGAAAGGCTTGGATGGAAAGATAAAGAAAACAACAGTTTGCTTTTGGTTCTGAGATAGGGATAGTGCAAATGTTAGTCCAAGATTTTTCAGCTGACTGATGTGTTGGTGATCTATGTCAGAATAGTCTCATGGTCTGTGCAACAGCTTGAGGAGAGGAACGAATAGAATCCTGGATTTTTTGTATTTTCTAATCCGAGTTTTGCTGCTGTGGTAGAGGGAGTTAAGAGCTATGCCTCTCCTTTTCCCTTTCACTCTTCTTTTTTTTTTTTTTTCCCTCCCTCTGGACCCTCAATTGCAGATCCTCATGGCGAGAAAAGGGGGAGTGTGGAAGGAGAAGGAGGAGGGAGGGGGTGGTGGTGGTGGGGGGGTTGCAGCGCAGTACTTTCCTTTGATGTAGTGAGAACGTGACGGATCTGCTAGCCAGTGTCTCGCAGCGTGGAATCACTAACCCAGGCTTACCTAACGGGATTTGGTAGGACCGCTCTGGTGTCCCTCAGTGCCATGTGTGTCCTGAGCTCATGCCCCCAGCGCTACCGTGGAAGATCCCTGTTAAAGAGAACACTACATCTACTAGAAGGCCTTCATGTCCTCACAGAACGCTGTAGATTGAAGCTTATGGTATCTGCTGTCGTTTTTTTTAAAAAAGTCTCTATATGGTGCAGATTCTGTGTGTATTATACTAGAGCAAGACTCCATATGATCACCCCATCAGCTTATTTAATTGTCCATATCAAGTCTTACTTACTTGATACAGATATTTAAGTCTATAAAAAGAATACAGAAACAGCCGTATGCTGTAGATTGTTGCGTTTTCTGATATGCAGCGTATCAGAAAGTCCCACAGACATTGATGTCATCTGCTGCGCAGCACTAAACAGTGAAATATGTGCACACACATGAAGGACAGCAGCGGGGACCTCACACAGAAGAAGCACTCGGCGTCTCGGGCGTCTTTGTAGTGCAGCTGGGCTGTGGTGTTTTATAAACAGCGCCATTAACGCTTTAGGTTTCTTCTCGCTTCCCAACGCTGCACGGGCGATGCCGGTTGACACATTTGCTCCATATGCACGGCGCTAATGATGCCATGTGGTTGCAATCACCTTATCGGTGTG